CTTCTCAGCACTGCAAGACCTGACTCCTTCATGGCCACTTCAAGCCATGAAGTGCAGCTCTCCTATGCAAGGTGAATAATATGCAGGGAATTTTTTAGGCACCAGCTTAACTGGCCTCATGAGAGGTGGATATTTACTTTACAAGATTCCTGTCTGTCAACACTTTTTCCTGAAGTGGGTTGATTGCTCAGATGCAGAGGTGTGGTATCAAACCACATGCATGAATAGCTGCTGAGTTGAATTAAAAATGTCCAAGATGACTGAGAGAGGAATTCCATTCTTTTCTTTGCTTAACTCAGAGCAAGGTGTTCCTCATCCTGGGAAGGTACTGCAGCCATGATAATGGCTACTGGCCCCTTGCTGGGAGGATATCTCTTTGCCCTTGAACTTTTGGCTGCTCAGGGCTTAGCTCTGGTGTAATTGCCAGGAACTGCCAGGGCAAGAATTGTGCTTTAGGAGCGTCCCCAGAGACCCATGGCCCCAGTGGTTTGGTGAAAGATTAAATGAGCAGAAAGATTAAATGAGCACTAGTGATACCCAGAGCGCAAACAGGGTTAGGTGGCTGCTGAGCAGTAACCTCCAGACCTTCCCTCTTGTCTGTGCTGGGATCTTGGGTGCACAACTCAGCCAAGGGTGTAAGCTGACAAGGGATGGCTTCCCTGAATCAGCTCACCTGGCAGATGGGGATAACAGTGCTTTGCTGTATCTCCTGGACGCCGTATGGATAAATAGATTAAAAGGTCTCCTCCAGTTTAAAAACTGCAATATTAATGCTATCCAGCTAAAACTGCTTTTTTTTTTCTTTTTTTTTAAACAATGTGTTCAAATGTTGGGATTATAAAACTTTGGTTTCCTGCTTTTTGGGGGGTGGGGAAGAGGGCAAGAAAGAGATATTGAAATTGGCCGGTTTTTGAAAAACATTCCAATGTGGGTACTTTTTTCCACACCAATTCTCCTTTATAATTTGGGAAATTCACTTGAAGTGTTCGTTGTTTATTTGATGCCACCTGACAAATCAGTAGAAGCCAGTTTAGGATCTTTGGTTTGTGCATTTTAGCTTCACATCTTAACAAGTGATGTGAAGAGAGCTACTACAGTCAGAAGAATTACCAAATGGCTTGTGGTCACTCTGTTTTATACAGCAATGATGTTATTAAGCAAATGATTTTTATTGTATCAATGCTGTATGTGTAGTAAGGGTTAAAATCCTTTCTTGATCCCAAGGTGGTAATTTTTACTTCCTATTCTTCTCTTTGAATTTTATATCAATATCTGAGAACAGGAATTAAAATAATAACACTACTACCACTACTACTACTACTGCTATTACTAATACTACGAAAATATCAACACAAAGTGCATAGCTGTGTAAAGTTACCAATTTTTTATTCAGATCAAAATCTGGACATCTCTTTTTCCTTGGTATAATCTGAAAGCAATTAAGAATGCTGAAGCCCCCGCTGTTTTCCCCGTGTGACATTTATTTATTCAAATTCTTAGGTCATCAAAGACTTGTGTTTGCTATTTGCCACTCATTAGCATGTGTCAAATTGGGATCTGTGGGATTTCTTTGTTTAAAACCACAATGTTTTCTTATCTAAAGACGTCAAGCTCTTGAAAGTGTAGATTTATTTTGATGAAACAGGTTGAAGTGAATGAATGATGAACAGTACTCCTCTCCTTTCAGATTAATGATCAATTACATGGACGTCATTTATGTGCTCTATATTTGCTCTGTTTCATCTGAGATGCCCAAGCATAGTACAGCTTTCATTTACTGTTTGTCTTCTCGTAAGGCACTAGGTATTGTACTTTTCATGGCACAAGTCAAATCCATTTTAACGTGTTCTTTTAAACCCTGAGGGAAAGTCTTCAAACGCTTCTAATTCTCATCCTAGTTCTTTCAACAGCATGTCTAACAAAGAGGCTGTTTGCCTTAACGCTGCATAATGTGACTCCAGTTTTATTTTGCCCAGCATATTGCCCATCGCATTTTAATTTTCATCTAGAGAAGCAGAAATTGTCTCCTCAGATATCTGCAACGAAGATTACACTGGCATAAAGCAAAATGAGAAGTGTGTTCCATCCTGCGCTGTCTTGGGAGGTAACCTCCTCCCAAGTAGAAAGCTTCTTGCTTTAGATTTATTGTAGCTTCTTTGTTATTTTTAGCAACATGGGTTGTACTTAAAACTAAATGCAGACCTGAGAAGGTGAAATGTAATGTGAAATGAGCTGGTCATCTGTGCTGCCATTGTATAGGTGTATATGAGGCAAATGGACAGAGAAGGAAAAATTGATAGAGAAATAGTAGCTGAGGAGAGCCTCTTAGGCTTCTTCTTCTCTTAGGCTCCTAAATCAACGGGCAAGGAGCCTGAACCTTGAGTCTTGGTGGATGAGTTAGTGCTGATTATGGTGAAATTCCCCAGAAGCTGAGAACCTGGAATCTTTGATAGCTTCATATTCCCAAAGGAAAAGAGGCAGGATGAATTCTAGAAAAACTCCTGCCTTTCACTACAGTTTGGCCAAAACTTCTTGGTTTTGACCGGTCAATAGTTTCTAGACAAAAATCTGTTTTGTTGGGAAATTCCCCAGCAAGTGTAACAAGATCCATATTGAATTGTTAACATGATGACATATGAACAAGTAATAGCTCATTGCTCAAGTGGATAGGAGGACTAAAACCATCTAGAAAAGTATACACTGAACTCTGATAATTATTTAGTGTCCAGCTTGAGAATACCAATGTTATTAAAGACTTGGTGACTCCATTGAAAGCAGCCCTGTTGAATGATTCTGCCCAAATGTCTTCACTGTCCTTCCTCTTTCTGTTTGTTTTTGATTACACAGACCTTACATGGAGACAGAATGGTTTTTGTCCATGAGTTCATCTGCTTCTCCATTTGGCTGAACTCCTAGTCCCCTGTAACATCACTGTGTTCCTCATTTTGGCTGTCACTCACTGGGATCAGAGCATCTTTTATTTGTTCTCTCTGGATCAGTCAGGTGGAAGAGTACTACATCCTCTCTGCAGAGCTTGCTTTCTAAATGAAGGGATGTCTTCTCTCATGCCTAGTTCTAGAGCCCCCAGAAATAAATGACAGCTGGGATGCCAGTCACAGCAATAGCTGTAGTCACTGATGATTTTTAACATGTCAGCTAATAATGTGAGGGGCTACACAAGTCTCATCTGTCTTTGGTAAACATCCTTCACAGTATAATGGGTCAGGTGAGGAGAAACCACATGATATGTAAGCACGATTGACTCTGAAAGAAATGTCCTTTAGGGCAGCGGGATGTAAAGCCAATGAGGGATCTTCAGGAACAGGGATGAAAGAACAGGGTATGTTTTTTCTCTCAAAGTTGAAACTGATTTCATAGAATCATAGAATCATAGTTAGGGTTGGAAAGGACCTTAAGATCATCAAGTTCCAATCCTCCTGCCATCGGCAGAGACACTTCACACTAAACCATGTCACCCAAGGCTCTCTCCAACCTGGCCTTGAACACTGCCAGGGATGGAGCATTCACAACTTCCCTGGGCAACCCATTCCAGTGCCTCACCACCTTAACAGGAAAGAATTTCTTCCTTATATCCAATCTAAACTTCCCCTGTTTAAGTTTTAACCCATTACCCCTTGTCCTGTCACTACAGTCCCTAATGAAGAGCCCCTCCCCAGGATCCCTATAGGCCCCCTTCAGATACTGGAAGGCTGCTATGAGGTCTCCACGCAGCCTTCTCTTCTCCAGGCTGAACAGCCCCAACTTTCTCAGCCTGTCTTCCTACGGGAGGTGCTCCAGTCCCCGATCATCCTCGTGGCCCATTATTTCATGGACATGAAATGACCTTCGCTTGCATTGCCCTACATATGTATTATATGCATGTTATGTATTTATAATATGGGTATGTATGTAGCAGAGATTTACATTCAAATATTACATGTACTGTTAGTAGAGTCTAACTGTTAAAAAGAAGAAGATTCAATGGATTTACTAATCAGATTATTTCTTTCTAGTTTCTTCCTTCTCTGACCTGGCAGGAAGTGTGAAGTGTTGGTTTAAGGAATATTTAAAAGATTATGTAAGCTTTCTCATAATATCTTAATTTTTATAGTAAAGCACCTGGGACATGCTGAAAAGCTCATTAGTTCCTGCATGGCAGAGATATGAAGCTGCCTAAGGAACTCTCCAGTCAGCTGGCTGTGTAAAAACCTCAGAGAAAAATCTAATACAGGGTAAGTCAGCTTATTGCAGCTTTTGTTGGTTTTGTTGTTTTGTTGTTTTGTTTTTGTTTTTTTTGTGGGTTTCCTTTTTTTTCCCCTCCTGGTGACTGGTTGCATGAGAGGTTAAGAAAGAGGAATGAACTTAAATCCTAACTAGACCTCAATGTTTCCAAGGAGCAGATGGACACAGCTTTGCCTCCTCTTTCCTCTGTACCAAATGGAGTTCAGGACCTGAACGATATTTGGGCACTTTATTACTTGTAAATAGTAGAGGGTTTATAGGTATACCAATGAGGCAAAGGAGATGAAATGTACTACCTTTAGAAGGGGAATTAATGTAATAGCATTCATTCCTTTTATAGATAATACTGCTATTTAGAATGTCCTAAAGTACATGATGTCTTTGCTGATTTAATTTCCTGTGTGAGCAAAACGTTCATAAAGCTACATAACTGCATTTTTCATCCTATCTCACTGCTGGCAGCAGCAACACAGGTTTCTGGAGTGCTGCAAGCCTTGCTTTGCCTCCATTTCTAGCTGACTTAATAGTAAGGAGAAGGGAGTGGAGGGAGATCAGGGGAACAGAGAGAAAAAGAGCAATGCTGTTGCAATAAATTCTTCATTGAGTTTGTGTAACTCATATGCATTTCTAACCTTCTTCTTGTATTCCTCAAAAGATTTAGGCTCCCTGTGACCTGATGCTTCCCACCTGAGGTCATTAATTGTAATCCTGATGGATGTAATGAAGTCGTTGAAGTAATTTTCCTTTTTTCCCTGGGGAGTTGAGCTGAGAAACCAAGACCACCTCTGCCAGTGGGCTTGAATCTGCTAGACATCCCTTTCCCTCCCATTTATGTTGCACAGTCTCTTTTCCCATAATGTGGGGCAGATTTCCCATAATGTGACTGTTAGTGCATTGGCAAGTAATGAGTGTTAAGTTGTGTGATAGACGTTTGGCCAGAGATTGTCAGACGGGCATCCTCTGCATCATCTTCTGCAAACAGTTCAAGAGAAACAATTGTGGTAGGGGCCATTTTGGGCATGTCCTCTAAGAGAAAAATTACAGGAGGTAATTTTGCTGCCTCTGGACTGGCTTATCTGACTTTTGTATCCCTTTGTGGTAGAGCAAGCCCTTGTCTTTTAATCAATTTAAAGAGTGAGTCAGGGCAAGAGGAGTCTATTTCCATATTAACCACTATGAGTCAAAGTAAAAATGAATGTAAGATTAGTTGTTTTGCTTAAGTAACACTGTCCAATCTGATTAATAAGTACCCTTCTGTTGACCTCAAAATATGCTGTAAAACTTCTTCAAGATAAGGACCAAAAAAGGTACCAAGACACTTCTGCTGTTCTTATATTTGTTTATTGTACTTCTGCTCCACTTTCCTGCCAACGGGTTTTCAAAGGAGAAAACTGTAGGACAAATTAAAGGAAATAAAAATGATTTTTAGAGAAAATGCTGGACGCTCAGCAGTGGAGTGTATATGAAACCAAAGTTTTGCTATGTACTTTCTTCTAATACAGAGATTCCCATCTCAACATATGGGTTGCTGCCCTGCTGTGTATAGAGAAGCAATGTCCTCATGGCTGAACCCCTGAAGGGATATAGTATACTTACACATGAGAGCTTAAAACATCCTATGCAGAGGTTTAAAAGGTCAAGCCCAAAAGCTGTTAGCACCAAGGAATATTCAATCTGGAAACTGAGAAAGGGAAAAGAAGATAAAGGAGGAGAGAAGACATTTCTTATAAATACTCTAAACCCATCATCGGTTTTCATCGTTGTTCTGTTAATTATTATATTGCATTTTTGAGTCGCTTGACGTGGGGTGATGTGAATCTGCTGCACAGCTCTGCAAGTAGCAAGGAGTGACAGCTCTGCACACTCTAGCCATGCATTCTGAGTGAAAGGTAGAGATACAAGCTGTGCTGAAAGCCTTTTGCCCCAAGAATGAGGAAAAGCTGCTCTTTTGTCCTGTTCTGCTTTTTCAGGAATCAGCAACAGCCCTCTTTCAGATGATGTATGATGGAAGGGTCAATCTCCTTTTCAGTCTAAGCTTTTCTATGTAGTGCTGTTTGTCTCATTTATTGGCAGTGATCAGCAGCTTTGTTCAGTGTATGTGGGACACTTGCTGCAGACTATTTACAAACATAAGGGGGAAAAAGGGTGTTGGTGGTGTTTTTGAATTCCGTAAGTTCTCCTTTTTTGCTGTGTCTAATGAGTAGCTGAAAAACAAAATGGGTGTTTTATTTCCTGATGAGAGCACATATTTGTCTGAAATAACTTAAATTGTTTATTAACATGAATCCATTTGAACATTTCTTTTTCAGGCACCATGTGAAAGCTCTTATTTCTTCCATGATGGATATTTGTCATCAGGTCATGTGAATGTTCTGGCGAACCAAAGGATGGATTGTTCTGTTTTGCCTGCTTGGATTGTGAAATAGGAATATCCATAACATGACAGGGCATGAAAAAGCCTGAAATGAATTAAGGGTGTACTTTAATGAATGGGCTTTTCATTTAGCGGATTCTTTATAAATAACTGTGGTAAATTCTCTTTCAATAAATCCGAAAGGATGGTTGACACATACATTTTATATGGGTGGGTACTGGCAAACTAGAACAGATCATCATTCCAGATAGACCACTTTTTCAAATATGTGTTCTAGCTATTATATTTCAGCTGGAAGAATTGCTCCAGTGTAAAGCCAATACAATATGTACTATGTTTAGTCTGATTATCTCAGCTCAAAACCTGGACAGATGAGAACATTCTCAAGATGGATGCTCCAGGAATCATCAAACTGATGTGGATCTCTCAGGCTTCACAGTAAAGTGGGCAGGTTTCTATCTGCTGGTTTATTTGCTAAGTTGTGCCGATGATAGCAGAGCCAATGGATATTCCATGCTAAAGGTGGAAGAACTGAGCAGGCATATACAAGTAAAACATGTGATAATGCCTAGTGCTCCATTGAAATCTGTGCATGTATTCAGGTGCTGAGTCCCTCTAGGCAAAAGTTGCACCTGACTGTTTTTCAAGTTTTAAACCATAAACAAAGATAACACCTACAATCCATTCCTTAAGAGAAAATTGAAGAGATCTGTATCTAAATGTGAGTATGATGGAAAATGTTGTGACTGTGCATCTGTTGTAAGTATTTGAAAACACTGAATTTTGCCAAGGCAACTGTGCCAGAAAATGTGGGTCATTAGAAAGCAAGATCTGTAAGGAAGCATGGCCAGTAAGTGGGATCATTTTTCTTTTCTGATCTTTTCAGGAAGTACAGCAGTTAAGGGTAAATGTACTATTTGTTCCTTAAGGGCTTACTAACCCATTTGAAACAGAACCCGATGTCCATCTAGACAACTAATTTCCTATGATGATGTAGGCTTACATCACTTTTTGCTTTCAGATGCATCTCAAAGAGTACCACCAGTGTCCATGTGCCAGTTTGCGTGGGAATAGTTTAAGACAACTGATGCTTGCTGTGTGCTCCTGTTCACGTTAGGGAATACTGGAGTTGAGCCCTATAATCCCAACCCCAAATAAACATTTGAGATTCCTGATTGCTGGCAGGTTCCTAAAAAAGTCAGGACATCCAATGCTAGTATGGAGAAATGTTTTTGTGGGATATATGGCAAGAACACTCTTAGTGATATCAGTGCCCCTTGCCTGTGGCCACTTTTTTATTGTTGAAAGTGTTAGTGTGATTTTTTAGTCCTTGGTGATCCTTTTGTATTTTGTATTAACCTGCTGTTAAGCATCTAGTTCCAGCTACAGATACTGACTCATAACTGGTGAAACACCTCCTACTGCTTGGTGAGGCAATGGACTGTGAACAAACTTGCTGTCATCAATCAAAATGATTTCACAAACTTGTTCCTGACTTTTGTTGGCCCTGTGATTTCAGAGCTGAGAATGCAAAGCAGAAGCTGTGTAGCTTGGGGCTGAAAGTTTGGATCGAGTAAGAGATACTGTTCCTTTGCACTCAAGTATAAGAGTATAATTACAAGCAGATTACTTGTGTGGCAACTTAAGTGAGATAGAATGTAAAATCTTTGTGTGGGTAAGTATAAACTACTTCTTTGCAGATCTTTTAGCCTCATTAAATAGGTGGGTGAATGTTTCCAGGAAAAGTGCATGAGAAGATGTGAACAGAGCAGAAGACAATTTCTCTGGTCTTGTTTAGAAGATGCTCAGATTTTTCACACAAGGATTTGCACAGCTCTTTCTGGCCATAATAGCACTTACACCTAATGTGACTGTAGGTTTATAATGCTTTGAAAGACACTAGCCAGTACATTACACACATTAGTCTCTCAGTGCATGACTGACCCAATTAGTGTGCAATAGGCAGGTGCATATCCTGGAAACTTTCCCATCTCCCTTTGTTAACTCTAACCCTTTCCATATTTAATAACAAGCCATTATGATAGCTAAGGGGTGGAGGACACGGAATTCAGTCAAATGAGTATTTCAGGCGTCATTTAACTACGGTAAGGAGGGGGTTAACATGGAAATTAAATTACAGAGTAGGCATGATAAGTTATCAAATTTAGCAAGACTGTCCGCTCTAGTCTGACCATGATGTAGACTGGCATTGAACTTAGGGGTATTTACCTGACCTGATCTGCATCTAACAGTGCCGATTTTCAGAGCAAATGAGTTCTGGTGCCTACCAGCTCAACGGCTTCCAGTTTCTGAGCAGATAAGCATTGGCTGGCCTTCTGTTGCAGACTGGCTTGTGCAAACATGACCCTAATAATTCCCACAGATCACACAAGTGGGGTGAAATGGGCTACTGGAAGTATCAGTTACTTGAATCTGGCATTGCTCCCAGGAGCAGGACATGATGAGTACATGCATTAGTTACACACATGCCTGCTTCCACTCAGCTTATGAGACAGGAAGGCTCATGCAGCAATGCCATATGGCACAGGGCTTTGAAAAGCAAGTGCACATATCTGACTCCTTCTGGCTTTACATTTTAGATGCTTAGATATTACCAGTGAGACTTTCTTTTTAAGCAGTGGCCTATACTGATGCTGAGTCATGTAAAGTCAATCTGCTCTGTAACCTCCTGCGTGGTACTTCCAGCTCTCCTCCTACCACGTGTCTGGGACTGCTACAGCAAGTGGTAGGTGAGGAGGATGAAAATATGGCTCCTTTCCAATAGCCACTGTGTTCTGGCCTGAGCTGCTCTGTATGGTTGGAACGACAACGATTTCAAAATACAGGATTTCTAGAAATAGAGCCAATTGAGCTTTAGGTTTTCTAAGGCCTTGATCTGTTTTACAGCTGCTGTAATAGGGTAACCTGATATAACCAAGGTAACATTGACTGTAATTGGAAAGCAAACAATCAAGTTGAAAATGGCCTCTTGTAATGTTGCGATAATCGACAGTGGTTTACTAGAAGCCACTATGGGAAATCTGCTTCTGCTAAACTAGGTTAAGTGATCCTAACCGAATCCGAAACTTTATGAAGTACTATAATTCTTCTTAGTCTATGCATATTTTTTTCTGTAAGTGGAATTCAAAGCATATCTTCATAGCATTTCAGCTAAATGTTTGGCTGCTTAAAGTTTACACTTCCAACATATTCAGGAAAAAAATAGCCCTTTGTTTAAACCAATATTCTAACTTTGCTAAGGTTTCCAGTGTATCTTAAGCAATGGAGGTAAAAATGTTCTGCATAGTAGGAGTTTTTAGGCAAATACCTATGTATGATGCTGCGAGATTATTATTTTTTTCTTAAGAAAGTAGAAATTTATCTCAGCTATGTATCATTCACACAGTTTCTTGCATCGGTTGTAAATGGGAAATAAATCTGCAGGAATAAATGGCATGCTCTGTTTCTCTGTTCAGTCTTGTGAAGAACCTGCTTGCTGATTATGGTCTCAGGTCCCTGATCTTGCTGTGCCAGTATCAGTCACAAAGGCAGGCAGACAGGTGAGCAGAACTGCTCTTTGAAAGGCACAGGGCTGCGTCAGTAACAGGGAAAATGACCCACCTCACCCAGAGAGTACCAGAGCCAATCACCTGGGTAGTCAGAAGACTGAGATGGCTGGAAAGATTCTTTCTGATTGTTTCTGTGGACTTGATAACTGTGCTGCTTTGCTTACCTCTCCTCTAATCCTCTAACCCTAGTGAGCTTCTGTTGCTTGTGCTCTTCAGTGCTTTTTAGGAACCCAAGGTGGCTGGTTACTGTAATGTCTCTAAACAGCAGTCTGAAGATGCAATTAAGAAAACTGGTTTGGAAGAATCTATTTGTACTCAGGTGGCTGCCCACAAAGGTGCAGGTCAGTATGTTCTCCGTGAGCTCTCAATTAGTAGCACAATGGTTACATAGTATAATATGGTTTGCAAAGTATAATAATGGTTTGCATAGTATAAACCTGAGTGTAAATTCTGTGCCTGTTAGCTTATTCATATTCAGATTCTGCCTGATATACACTGGAGCAAATCTAGTTGGATCTTCTTGGGAGAGTGGCTTTCCCATTTTGGGGCATCTGTTGAGGTCTTGAAACATCTTTTGGCTCCATACAGAAATAAACCCAAGCTCTTTCAAACATGTTCATTAAACTGAGTTGTGTCAAGATGTCACTTCTCATCAACATCTGAACCTTTTGGGAAGTGTTACATGTGCCTGTTCTCATGTACTTTGTCTTCCTCTCTTCTTTACTTTTTTCCCTACCCCACCCTCTTCCCTCCTTCCTGTCAAAACAATGACAGCTTATGTTTTGCAAAATGGGCAAGCTTTGACTTTATAAAAATTCAATATAGCAAAAAATTTTGGTTATCTCTAAATGCGTGCTTTCCTGTGCTGCCGAGCTTGGCGGTAAAGAGTACCTCCACCTCTCCTCTTCCCCTCCATCTCCTGCCATTATGCTAGTAATATAAGACAATTCATACAAGACAATATATTCATGTTAATTAAAGCACCTCTTTATATTTTAGGCCTACAAGGAGCGTCCTTTCCTTGCTTTCTGTCCTTCGTCTGTACCAAAACAAAAGCCAATGGGACTGGAGCATGCAATTTCCAGTGCCTCCCTCCTTAGCCACGCACCCCCATCCCTCCCGCAGGGAAGTGAACACCGTCCGCACATCATTTGAGACAGGAACAATATAACACAATCTCTTTTCTAATTTTCTAAATATTTCCCAACTTCCATTGCAGGCTGTTGTCTTCAGGCTGTAAATTCATGCCAAGTACTCCCCAACAGCATTCTTCTCTGCCCTCCCAAATCACTCAGAGAGCAAACAAACTTTTCCTTGAGTCATTGATTTCTACAAGAAAGCATCTGTGTTTATTACATATGAATGAAGAATGGCTAGACTGCACATTTTACAGCTTGCATCTCTCCAGTGAAAGCTATAAGTAAGATCTTGGTCAGCAGAAAGCTACTTTCTCACCTGTGTATTTTGATCTGTGAACAGGACTTCTCCCTTCCCAGATAGGGTACTGCTGTGCTGGGTAGGGAAAACTGCCTGGCAGTTTTCTAACTATCTCCTCTGAACTCATAAAGCTCTGGGACATGTTGTGCTATCTGTAACTGGTTTTACTGCCTGGATGAAAAGCTTTTGATGTAATGAACAGTGTACACAATGCAGTTTCATGGGATGATATGATCATCTGTATTGCAGTGAGCTATACTGACAGCTCAGTCTAGATAGGAATGTGTTAAATTAGTACTGGAACAATCTAGCAGCTCCCAGGGAACAATTTCTACAGACCCTAGAATTAATTAAAAGAAGAATATTTTTATTCTACAGTGATAAATATAAGCTATCTAGCACCTAATAATTAAGTTGGACCATAGAAATTTTCAGTACTCATCATCAGAAGTGCTTAAAGTGATCTTGGTATGTGCTAATACTTGTCTATGAGGTCCTTGTGCCAGTAGCAGAAGTTTGCCTTTCCCTTTGTGAGTGCATTTATGCCTGGCCATGACTACATTATGAGCAGGCATAATCCTTGATTGCCTCCATTAATTTCTTCATTGATCTAGCAATGTAGCATATTTATATTTCACTATGTTTTTTCCTCTGGGCCAAATCATCATTTTCTACTTTTGTAAAGTGTTCTTGGAACAAGTATTGTACCATTTGGTGATTGTTTCAGCTCTCCCACTCTTCACTGAAAGCATGTTTCAGTAATTAAAACAAAGAAAGGAAGTTAGTAGACTGTGTTTCTGTTTCTGAACAGGGCATCAGTAGCTGTCACATAAAACTGGCAAACAATTTTTGTTTTGTTAAGCCACACTATAAAACAATACTCTGCACTGCGATGAGACTCAGTCTGCAGGTGCTCAGCACCAGGCAAATAAAGTGAGTTTCCTGAAAGGGTGTCTATTCTTCCCTTCCTAGCTCTATCACCTGATTTAAAACACATACTACCTCTTACCACCTTACTTGTATTTTGTACTAGTTCATAGAGCAGTCAACATAAAGAGCTCAGTGTACTTTCTAGTTTTGCAAAATCAGCTTTTCCAAAATTAAATGGCTGAACTCTGCTTAGTGTTTGTTTTCTTGATCCAGATAAGAGCAAAAGAATAGTATTCCTGCCTGCTTTGAAGTGAACTTAAGCAAAAGGTTGGCAGACCCTGCAATTTGGTCTCCATTGTCAAGATCTAGTTTGAGCTGGGGATGCTCCTTCACCAGTGATCCTGAAGTTCCTAATAAGTATTCATGGCACATGTTTCAGAGACCAGCCACTCCAATAAAACCTACTTCTAATGTCTATTCACAATAATATTTTGCTGCAAATGTGTATGAAGTGTGATGGTAAGTGTTGTTACTTCACTTTCAGGGGCTCTGAGGACCAGCGAGACAATACATGGCAAGATAAGCAGAACATACTTCTGCTAAGTTTTCGATCCACTCGCTATCTGTGCACAACTTCAGATGTAACTCAGCCTCTGGAGATCTAGAGCATCAAGTCTATTGAAGATACATTTGCAGACCTGAGTCTGTTCATTTAGGCAGTAGCTGCAGATCAAAGAGAGGCAGGTCCAGGTCTCACCACAGGTCTCCCAGAAGGCAGGGCAATCATTTCCGGATACAATTTGTCTTCCCAGAGGCAGGGCATGCTGCCGTTACTTAAGCGTTTGAAACCAGGGTGTGAATGGTGGGTGCCTGACTTGGAGAGATTTGGGCCAAGCAAAGCCCGCAATGTAGACAAAAATTTTAGTCATGAGGAGCAGAAAGTTTATTTCTGTGCTTGAATCTGCTCCCATCTCCACTTACCAGTGTGTGATGACCTTTCAACAGCATGCACTTCAGGTTTCTCCCCCAGTATGATCTAATACGAGGCTGTGGTTACTGTGGGCCATGAAGGCAAATCCTTTTGATGTACTCTACTGCTAAACCTGCTCAATAGCTCTCTAGAGGAGTGTGAAGACTGTTTTTACAGCTGGATATAGTGCAAAGGTTGAGCTATGGGCCTTTCATCTTAGAGATGGCTCCCTACCATATGTTTTTATTATGAAGAATGAGGTCAAATCTTACAAAGTTTAGTGTTACATAGTTAAAAGTTTGCAGAGGGCTTTAGAAAAAAAAAATATTATAAAAACAAAGCTCTTATTTATCTATAATGAGCTAAAGTAAATATATAACACTTTAACAGCTGATTTTGAAAGTCCTTTTCACTGTTCCCATAGTTTCAAAGCCCAGGAATACAAAGACTTTTTGAAGGAACTAAACAACTGCAACCATGATGGACAATTTCATGCAGGCAATGAATCAGCTGTTCAGAAGAATAGTTCCTGTGTTGCAGGAGAACTTGCTTCTCTACTTTCTGCCTAATTCAAGCAAAATGCCTGTGCAGAGCTGAGGCAGTCCTGTTGGGGAGCAATCAATATGCTGCCACATACCATCCATAATTCTGGAATTTGCTTCCCACCCACACCATGGTGTTTTCACAATGTGCTTTCTTGTGCTGTAGCAGTGGCAGCCTCCTCAGGACATGTTTTTCTTAGTCACATGGATTTGTCAGATCCAGCCTTTTTTCTTTATCAATTGAGCTTTTCAGTGTGTACTCAGTATTGGATAAGCTCACATAATTAGTCCAGATGACTCTTTAAAAGGAGGCTTTTAATGTCTGTGATTTACTGCCCCTGTTTTCTTTTCTTTGAAGCATACCTTACTTCCCCACTTGGACTGAGCAGTACCATGGTACCCGAGCAAAAATGACAGTGTGGTCCTTCATCAGCAGTGAGCAATATTTCATTTGAATGTTTGTGCTGCAAAACTGCACTGACAAAGGACTGTGCAGAGGTGGATAGACTGGGAAAACCTGTGGGACAGCATGAGGAATTAGTGCGTGGGTAGCATAGCTCACTGGTTAGGTGTGGAGATCCAACAGATCTGGCCCTGTCAGACAAAGCCTGAGCTTATGCGGACCAGTAAAGCTGTGCTATGTTCAGTGGCACTACAACAGTTTACTAAATGAGAGTCATTTTTCTTTTCTAACATCCGGCTCTCTGGTGAGCACCCTGACTAGCCACATTCCTTTTTCTAAGCGCACATTCCCTAGTTGTTAAATGCCAATTTATACAGATTAAAAAACCTGCCAGTAAGGCTTTGGTTTGCTTCCTGTGTTGCTGTTGGTAGTTAATAAGCAATGGCAAGCAGCTGTGCCATCCCATTAAGCCCAGAGCACTTAATCTCTCCATCATGTTAATAGTTATATCAAAGAGGACCACTGAATGGAGACTATTCCAGCTTGAAAAATTGTATTTCTCTGAAGCTGAGGATCTGTGCAAGTAGAGAGGCATCTTGTAATGCTGGTTTATTTCTTGAAAAGATCTTGAATTTTGAAAGGACTTCAACATGGTTTGTCTGCTTTGTTAGTGTCAAGTAGGGAAAGGACCTGTGTCCTGCTGACTGCCAGGCAAGCAGTATCACAGCTTCAGTCTCATATCAGGGAGTCCTGTGAGCAACCATCCTGCTGCTAGTATTGTGACCCATTGCTGGTGAGGCTCCCAGCGTGGGAGATGGAGCACAGCACAACCTGCTCAGTGTGCTGCTGGGGAAGCTGATTCAAAGTTAGTCTGGAGGCACTCACTGATGCACTCTGCTCTGTAGTCTGGGCATGTGTTAAATACAGGAATAGCAGCTGGAACAATAGAGGCAGAAGAGGGAACCTGAGGCAACAAGAAGACAATACAGGTCAGATACACTGTTTTTTACCAGTTTCAGTCAGTTTTTTCCACTTCTCCACTAAAATTCTGTTTAGAGACGCCCCCCCCCCCCCCCTTTTTTTTTTATTCTCCTGCTGGGCATGTGATTACAAATAAAAATGTAAGCATGTATGTGGCCCTCTTGAATCACATTTTCTACATAGCTGTATTGAATTGGGATCTGCCAAACATAGCAAGGTCTTTTCAGAAATCTCTTTTTTCACTAATGTTTCCCATCAGACTGCTGCAGGCATTCAGAGACTAAATGTTTAAATAATGGAGAGAAATGCCACTGCCAAACAGAATGCCTAATTCCTGGAGGCCATGGGTTAAAAAGAGATTTTTTTTTTTTGGCAGTTAATTGAAATCTAAGCAGGATTTAGTCATAGTGTGCTGTTTCCCCATTTGTTCTCTCCTTGCTAATATTTAACAGGCCTTTATTGATTACAGTGACAGGTTTGTACTGTAAATGGAACCTGAAGTTTACTTTTTTATCCCATAATCAGTGGCTTTATGTATTTCATATATATATATATCCATCTCATACATATTTCACAAATCAATGCTTAGAAAATGATATCCTGGCACAGCTGTCTGTAAAGGCAAAATGGCATTAGTCTTTTTTAAATAATAAACCCCAGTATCTGTGTAAATTCTCAAATGAGTTATGTGGAAAGTCTCCATTACTGCTGCATTATCAGCACATCTGAATCTAAGGATGAATTCAGCTTCACAAGTGTTGTAAGTAACCCCTGAGTCTGCAGTCAGGTCAGCTGTCTCTTCCCTGCTAAAGTGGGAGTACTTCAAATCTTACCTATGGTAATTCTCCTTCAGATTCAGCTGGCAGCTGCAAATCTCTTTTGGCTTGAGTTTTTCAGATTCTCATCTGCAGAGAGCACTGCAAGGTCCCATGTGTCATTCTGCTTCCCTGTGCCAGTCCCATGTGGGGCCATTCCCCTCTGGGATTTGGACCGCCTGTGCATTGCGAAGCTCATTTCCCAGCTGTGCATGCACATTTCAGATTTTTGCCTGTTAGCCAAGATTTTTAGTCAAATGGGAAGGATTTATGAAGCTGATAGAAATGTGTCAATGTGTAAAAATTCCACACAGTGCACTCCTTATCAACTAACCTCTTCCTATAAATAACTGTTTATTTGCAGTTTTCAACATGTTTCCCTCCCCTTTTTGTTTCTTCTGCTGTTGCCAGAGCTTGTATCTATCTGAATTTTGGGAACAAAGTCCATTTCCATACTTCATGATGCTTTTAATCCTGCAACTGTATGAAAGCACATCACATCCATGCCCCAAAGGGTGGCAGACACTGCCACGCTGGTCCTTAGTTCCTGACTGAATTTGCAACCCAGTTCCAAAGAATATTGAAAACCACATCTGGGTCATTCCTTCTTTCACAGGCACACTGTTTCTTGTTG